ACTGGGACCAGGCTTCCTAATTAGTGCATATACCTAAGTAACTTACCAGTGTCGGGAGTTGTTCAGATGATACGCTCCCCGATAAAGGGAATCGATCGGAGCACAAGGAGAAGTGGGAGTGTGCTCAGCGATCACCCGGGATCTCCGGGCAGGACAGTCCTGTGGAGACCTGGCCGGGTGAGAGAAGGGCTCATGTGGTGGCTTTTGGCATCCGTACGCAGAACCGGGTAAGTCTGGCAGGGCAGAGAGAGAGAGGCGGCAGGGGCTGGGAGGGGTAAAGCTTGAGAGGAAAAATTGTATGTGGTGTTTAAAGAAATCAGCAGACTCACGTTGGTTTTAATGGCTTCTGTGGTGTTTACCCCCGGGGGGGCAATGGCTTCAAAATGCGGGGTTGGTTAACCACCGAAGCTATTGCATAGGGCTTGGAAGCCAGACTTGGGGCCACAAACGAGCCTGGGTGCAGTGCTTGGTATACTTGTGGTTCTAGTTGTTTGTCTTCATCATAAAATTGCTCAAGTTCTTCAGTGTCTCTGTGTTGCAAGTACCAAATATTGGCCTAAACCTCCCAGGAAGGTTAGTTGGCGCTAAGGCATATAGCTGAGCCTCCGTTGTTGCACTTCATGAGTTTATGTTTGTTTCTGATAATGCTGCTAGTAGAGATAGTAACCTCCAGCGTGATATACTCATTTTTGATTGCTTTGTTTATTCTCCTTGATTAAATGCTGTAGTCCAGAGACAAAGACAGTGTAATTGCTTTTTTCTTTTGCTTCAAGAAGTTAAATACTATAATCTGAAAATGCTGGATTGTTTGGATTTATTATTCACAGTCCTGTAAATTCTTGATGTTTTTTGATCACGTATTTTGACTGCCTTCTGCAAAATTTTGAATGGGGATTTTTTTTTTTCTAACTTCAAACTTGCCTTTATTTTCTACTTTGTAATTTTGACAAGATCCTTGCCGAAGAAGTTACTAAGTTTGAGCGTAAGGGTTCTCAAATCTCTGGTACTATGGCATATGCATGTTGTAGGCAAAATATTTATCAAAATGGCAACATATACATAAGCCATTTGATAAATTCATTGCAAAATATACTTATATATAGCAAATGTACACTTTTATGCCCTGGATATTATTGTTTTAATTCCTTGGACATGCTAACATTTCAGACAGAAGCGATTTCTCAATAGAATTGTAGCCTAAGTTGGTAGCCCAGAGCAGTGTTGTAAGTTTTCTCATCGGTGGCCCAGTTCTCAACAGGTTAGTGTGGCTGGTAAACGGGGCAGGGAGTTTGGTGTGCAGTCTTAAACAGATGGATTCTGAGGACTAAATACTGAGCTTTGAGCCCAAGGGAGGGCTGAGGTGCCTGGATGAGTGCAGCAGCTAACAATTAGAAGCAGCTCGATAGACCAAAAGAGGTGCCCAAGGATGCTTGAAATAGTCTACCGAAGTTTAAGACAAATGCCAACTTTGAGGTTGTTGAGTATACAGGTAAGTTTGTACATACTTGAATTTTGTATGTTGAAAGTTTAAAAGATCATATTGGGAACTATTTTTTTCCGATTTTTAGAATATGTAGAAAAAAATACTGTCAATGATGGCAGGTAGGAGGTTTAAAAGATTAGTTCAAGGATATGAAATGTAATTGCACGGAAGGTACAGTTGATATGGTTCATACGGTAACTAGCTACTGTTGTCCATTTTGAAAATATACTTTTTTTTCAGGCTGTACATGTCATCTTCGTTTATCAGCATTATCAACATTATTATAAGCTAACTTGTTGGAAAACTTAGTGTAGGATGGCAGTGGTAAAATGAGTTAATGGAATGGCCAGTGTCATTATGTATGCAAATATCTTTAAGTTATATAGTTTATGACAGCCTGCCTGTAAAACACCTACTTTTACAGATTACACTAAAATTTATATCTGTGTGTGTTTATGTTCCAGTCAGTAATTTCTCATTTATTTTGCTTAGCTCTCAAAGGAAGAAAAAAGAAAAAAAAAATAAGCGTGCAACTGGTGTTCCAGTTTAGTTCAGCTGCCAATCCAAATAGCCTCAGATATATTTGTGCTGTCTTGTTGGTGCCGGAGCAGTGCCTCTGTGACTTGGAGCAGTATCTAGCACTGCCTGAAGCTATATTCCTATGTATTAGTATCATTAAATCCAGTACTTTGTGTCTCAGTGCCTGACTTCTGCACTGTGCTCATAGAAATAAGAGGATGGTTGACATTATAGGGATATAATTTACAGTAAATAAAATTCTGAATGGGGAGAAGGGGAAGGAGAGGGTCACTTGTAGTGAGTCCTTAAATTACAACAGCAGTTTAATGTTACAAGAGTTCTAGTCACCTTTTGTTTATATAAGCTAATAATTTTTCTGTTTCTTCGCCTTTATAAATGACAGTTTACATTCCTGGTCAGTGATCAAAGTCAATTGAAAGTGTGAATAAAAACTCTACAGGGGATTCTGAGTTATGGGAAAGACAAAAAAATAAAGCCTACTTCTGAGATTTTCCCCTTTCCCCCTCTTCCCCCCACCTCCAAAGGGGAAACGCTTACAAGGTATAGGTATAATCCTAATAAAAGTGCTGGCCTTGGTTTAAAATAAGAAAGGCAGGGAGTGGGGGGGAAACATCAGTTCTGAATATTAGAGTCACTCCAATCTCCATGATGACAATGCACTTCTTTTAGGATTAATGGGCATGTGACCATGCCAAGGCACCCTGCTTTCCCATCCACCTACCCCTCCAAAAAAAAAACCCAAAACATCAAAAAAAAAAAAACAAAACACCAACCAAACAACAACAAACCCAAACAAACAAAAAACAAACAAACAAAAACAAACAAAAAACCCAACAACAACAAACAACCATCTTTATTGGCATCTTTATTTTCCCCCCCTCAATTCTAGAATATTCAGATGATATTCCCTGAAGACTGCAAATCTAAATAGTTTTATTGAAACATGAACAAAACGAAGGAAAGGTCATTTATATTTCTCAGATGCATTTTCTAATTTTAAGCTTGCAGGATTTTAAGAAATTCAAAATTTCAGCAGCAAAATAACCCTGGTGTCATGTAGGTAGTCCTATGTTTTATGAACCATTTTTGCTTTGTAAACTGTAATATGGATATGCAGAATGCTGCACTGCATATTGTGGTGGTATGTCTTTCTTTTATGTGAGCATGCAAGTAACTGGTCTTTCAGGATGTGTAATACCTATGGCAAGGCCATGCATATTATACATAAGGCTGATCTTGTCAGTAGAAGCTGTTACATGGTGCTCTAACGGCATGAAGTATATTAAATCAATGTACACATGAGGGGAAATTTGGCACAGCAGACAGCATTATTGTGTTGAATCTTTCCAGATGCTTTAGGACTGAATTTCTATCTGGAAGTTGGACTTAAAATTCATCTGCAAAATTAGTTCAGGTGTTTCTGGCTTATATTGAATTCATTGCTATAGCTCAAGAGAACAGCTAATTACTTTAGCTGAATGTATGTTTCTTTTCCCTCTGACGAACCTGGGAGATCTGCATGGACAGTTTTCAGATCTCAAAGAGGAAACAATCAGCTAAACTGTATGCATAGTATGGGGGGTAGGAATGCGTTCTCTGTTCATGTAGATGTTCTAAGGTTTACAAGCTCTTGAGGGCAGGCATTTGTTACTACGGATCTGAACAGAGGCTACCATGAAGAAGTGGTTAGCTGTTTGTGCAAAAGCATCACCAGCAATTTTAACTCCTGTCTTCAAGTGACAGTCTGTGTGTCCTTACAGAATCTGGGTCTTCCTGGTTTTGAAACCACAGGCAGCTTGAGCACCAAAAGGTCGCCTGCTTACGCTATCCATATGAAAGCATGGGTTTAATGACAGTGCATGCTTTTTCTGCCACAGCCAGGTCAAGCACTCATGGCACTTGTGTTTTCCTCAGCACCAGCCCTCACATAGCTTATACTCATTAGTTCAACTGAAGCTCCTGCTATCTTCTTTTTCCTTTTTTGTTCGTCTTTCCTCCTTTTCCTTTTCTCTCCCTGAGCCATGAAGTGTGACCATCAGTAGCTACGCTGCCCCTGACAGAGAAAATACTGCCCAGCGGAGGAGCAGCACAAGGTTCAAGCCTTGCATATAGTAGAAAAGCAGCTCTGGCTTGTAGGACTTCACTTCCTTGGGCAGGTGCTGTGCCATCAGGTTTCCCACTCTCGTGGACCTGTGTAACGTGCTCGGCACTAGTTCCTGAGGTGTCCAACCGCTCCCTCAGTCACAAGGGGAAGGCTTGGTGCCACAGGGCCAGCACCTCAGCTGTCCGAAGATCGCTCAGTCCAGCTGAAGTGACCACAGCAGGTGGATGTTACCACGGCTTGAGGCTTACCACCAGACTTCCAAGGGCTGTTTCCAGCGCGACCACCTGCCCGGACCTCAGCAGGAGCCCCGAGCCATTCCCCAGGCCCCGCCAGTGGCCGCTGGGCACAGCTGGATCCCACTGGGAGCCTGGTTTGTGCGTGACCTCCATCTCTGGGCAAGATGGGACAAGAGTGAATCGGTGGGCTCTGCAGCAGCGACGGAAAACCATCCCTCAAGTAAACACGGGAGGGAGGTTCGCTTTCTCCTCTCCCCTCCGTCTGCTGGTGGGCTTGCCAGCGACAAGGAAGGGAAGCCACCGCCGGCCCGGGGGCCAGCGCCCTTCCAGCAGTACTGCTGAAGGGGGGTGGGGGAAAAAAAAAAATTAGCATGACAACCTAACGACCTGCTGGAAGGCTGATTATTACAGACCCTTCGTATACGTATAATACGTAACGTGTACATTTAAGTTTACTTTCTCAGGGCTTTCCTCCAGCCGGTGGCTGGGCTGCCGCTGTCGGGTCCTCCCCGGCCCGGCCCTTGCTCTCCAGGGGCGGCTGCGGGCACGACCCCCCGGGCGGGTTTCTCTCGCTGCTGGGAGGAGGCCGGCGGCCCGGCCCGGCCCGGCCCGGCCCGGCCCGGCCCGGCCCCGCCGCTCCCGGGCGGAACCTCAGTGCCAGCCGCTACTTCCACCCGGCGCCTACCGACCGGCGCGGCGGCCGCGGGGAGCGCTGAGGGGAAGCTGCCGTTGCTGCGGCTCCGGGGCGGGAAGCGGCGGCGCCTCCGCTCCTGACGCCGGCGCCGAGCGATGGCGCTGCCGGGGCTGAGCGAGCGGGAGCAAGCCGGCTGCCGCCAGATCCTGGAGTTTCTGGAGACCGAGGACCTGATGGCGCTGACGGACACCGTCACCAACCGCCTGGTGCACCCGGAGAGCCGCCGAGGTGCGCGGAGCCCGCGGCGGGAACGCCGGCTCCTGCGGGCCGCCTCTCGGCCCCCGGGCGGGCCGGCTCAGGGCGGCGGGGCGAGCTAGGCCCGTGTGCGGGAGCTGCCCGGGGGCGGGGGGGGGTGGTGTGTTTCTCGGCGCCGTTTTCTGCCGTGGGCCCGCGTACAGCCAGAAAGCCCCGGGATCGGGCTGCTGAGAGCTGGGGGTTGGTGTGGGCCGAGGAAGGCGGGGGCTGCTGGTGGCTTGCGGCAGACTTCGGGTTGCAAACGCCTCCATCCCTCTCTTAGGCCGCGTCCCCATCCCTGCTCCGCGCTGAGCTTCATGCGCTGCTGCCGCTTGTTAGGGCTTAAAAACATGTTTAAAACTCGGGTGTCTTTTGCTGTTTTCGTCAATGGCACATGCTCTCAGGTTTTGAAAGGGTAAACCGCGGATCTAACATTGAACTTATTTGCAGAATGGAGCGTTTTCGGGTGTGACCATCCCCCATCACTTTGTAGACGTTGAGATTTGTTTCATAAAACTTAATTTTGTTTGAGAGTTACCTGAGGCCGCTCAGTATGTTGCCCTGAAATACACTCATCCAGAATCCTTGAGTATGTTTCATGTGATGTAACTCAGATCTGTTAGATTTGCCAAACGCATTTCTTCAAAAGTTCTTATGCCTGTAGTTTTTCTTCTTGATTTTTTACCTGATTTTTGCAGTGGTTTTAGGTTAAATTATTTCTGTATTATTATTTTTACTTCAGTTATTAATCTCTTCTTGTTTAAATTTACAGTTTTTATAGGTAACACGTCAAGTAGCTAGCTTCAGTTCAGATGAGAACTGGCTACCAGAAGTACTTTAAAAGTGGATTTTAGTTGGTTGTGTTTCTTGGTTTTGCCACAGAGCCTTGTAGCTGATTCTTTTTGAATGTTACATTGCAATGCACTGTCATTGTGCTATGATCCATGGTGTTTTCTTATGAATGTGGGAGTAGTAATGTTATTAGTGTGGAAATAAACCAGATTTAATTCCATTTCCATCAGTCTTCAGAAACCTAGATGGAACTTCACTTTCACAAAACACTGTGTATTGTTGGAAAAACTGCAAACTTCTGGTACTAGAATTCTTGCTCAGCATACAAGGAATTGGATATTACATTGGTTATTTCTTCTGTCTGCATTTTTGTTAGTTTTTTGTTCATGGGAAACATTTGAAAACTTGCATATTCTTTGGAATAACAGTGTGTTCTCTGACAAGATCATGTGAACTATCCATTTGATGCAGAAATTAAGGTCCACATTCCATATTTAGAAGAACCAAAAAATATTTATCTGGTTCTTCTCTGTCTGCATAATTTTGCTTCCAAGGAGACAGGTGGATGGCTTCTTTTGAAATATCCCAGAGCTTTTCAAATGGAGAATGAAACCAAGCTCAGCTTTTCAGAAATGAAGGTGCTGTAGGGTGATGTGAAGCAGGAAGCCCTAAATGATGTGATGTCAAATTAACTTATTTTGAAGTTAAGGTTAGCTGAATCTCAGGAAGTGCAGCTGAAATGCATTGTGTGCAAGAATCTCTATACTTCATGAAGTACTTGAAATTTCTAACCTGCTTGAAAATGCTTGAAGAATATTAATAATTTCATTTGGAAGAGAAAGTTGCATCCTTTTCATCAAGCTCAAATAGCAGGTAATAAATTCCATGCAGTCATGGATACTGGTAGTAGGGATTACAAAGTAGCAAAGTCTTCAGTAAAAACAGCAGTGCTTCTTAAACATATTCCCAAGTCTTTGGGTACCTTCTGTGTCTAATATGTTTAGGTCAGATTTCAGTTTGTAAACAAACTTTTAAGTCTTTGCATTTCATTGAGGCTTGTTTTGCACTGAGTTTGGAGGTGCTGGCCAGGAATTTAAGTAGTGGCATAGGTTTGGGTTTTAATCATGAGAGAAGCAAGTGCTAATTTCAGTTTCTTTACTTGCAGAAGCCATTCATGCCATTTTGGTTTACAGCCAAAATGTAGAAGAACTTTTGAAACGCAGAAAAGTCTATCGAGAAATAATTTTTAAGTATTTGGCGGCCCAAGGAATTCCTGTGCCTCCTTCCTCTGAGAAACATCTACTCATTGATCGTGTAAAGCAGTACTGGAGCGGGCAGCTCACAACACAACATGCCTCGGAGTCAGGGGAGAGAAAACCACACCAAGAGGTGAGTGCTGCTTTCTGAAATTCCTGAGGGTGCTTAGCACTGTTTTGCAGGATAACCAGTGTAAATCTTCTAATGTACATCCAAAATGTGGCTCTTGACCTGTATTTAGGAAGGTGCTGAATCATTTTAACTCTTAGTTTGTTTGGGTTTGGTTTTTGTTTGTTTGGTTGGGTTTTTTAAATTACATCATTTAAAGGTGTCTGTGCCAACAGATCACTTGCAGAGCACAGTCTTCTCTGTCTTGTAAAGTAATTAGTGCATTTGAACTTTTAATGTGTGGGGTTTTCTCCATGCTTTTAATGTTTAAGTCCTACTGTAAGCTAAAATAGAGGGTATTCACAAATAATTCTGTGGATTCAAGGACAACTGAAGGCAATGTTAATGGTACAGAAGCCCGTTGTCACTTCTTAATTTGGTGGATCTTCTTAGGCTTTTGGTGTAGATCCAGGATTTCCAGACATCCTCCAGCCTCACCACGCACTAGTGATACCTCTGGTAGGATGCAGAGCAGAGATATTGCTGATAGTAGATCACAGGTGTCTGTCAGGCTGATCTGAAATGTTACAAGGGAGGGAGGGAGGGGATGGAAAGAAAACCATCTTTTTGTAAGTGGCCTACTTCTAGAGACATTGCAATCAAAATAGCGCTGTCCGTAAGCTGTTTTCCATTTTACCTTTTGCAGTTAGAGTGCAGAGTGGATTTTAGCAGGTTTTTGTATCATTAAAATGTGAAGTTGGTAGCAGTGCCAGGTCCGTGTAATTTTTTTTTTCCCCTTGATATTAGTAACACTTAATACAGTGTAACTAAATGTATTTTGGCAATTACAAGTTATTTTGAAGTTCACAATGTTGACATTCAGCAAATCCTCGTGGTGTAATGAACTTTCAGTGTTTTATTTGTCTTGGATCTTTACCGTGTAGTTCTAAATAGCCACCTTGCTCTTCCAAGTGTTGTACTTCAGAGACCTAATGGACAACAGCCCCACCAGCTGGACTGATAGAGCTCTGTAGCTGTTGATAACATTGCATTGAGCTTTCCCTCAGGGATTAACTGATGAGAATTATGATTTAGATAAGAATTGTTTTCAAAATATATTTTGTGTGCATACTTTGGGAAAATAAAAATGTTGCTCTTTCAAGAACGCTTCCCAAATATTACCCTGTAGGGAAGTTTTGTGATTGAGGTAAATTAAATTCTCTGAAGTGTTCAAAACGCATTCACAAAGAATGAGAAAATCAACACGTTTATTACATACATCTTTCTTTGCCTTTGTTTTCTCTTAATTCTCGTGGCCCTCATCATTTTGAAGAAATGGGCAACATGAACCGAAGCAACTGAATTAGAAATTAATCACAATTTATTGTAAAACAAATATAGCGTTTCTATATAGAAGTCTCCACACTTTTCATGCTTAATTACTTAATATTTACTTAAAATATACTTAAGTTAATATTCACTAGACTTTGATGTTAGCAGACTTGACATTTGATTTACTTCTAGGAGTCTTGCTGTCAAGTTGCAAATACTGAGAAGCCTTCCAAAATAACTGTACATTTAGTTCTTGTTCAAAAAACACGTCACCTTACAGTTGGAGGTCATATATCTTTGCGTTGGAAAGCTTGGATGATTTTTCTTGAGCAAAAAAATCTTACCTATTGTAAGATAAAGCAGAGGATAGACAAACTACTTATGTACAAATTAAATAGGCTCACAGGACTGTTGCTTAAGCATCCAATTGTTGCCTTTTACAGTGATGCTTCCTTTAGAAAGAAGTGTTCTCTAAACCAAATGTGTTTTTATAATCAACTTTAAAACCTGTCTTAAATATCTAATTGCTAAACCACTTGTTTCCTAAATGTTTGTGCTTTAGTTTTGCTTTTCTACACAGTTGTAGACATACCAAGAATTCAGCTGCAAGCAATAGACTTTTTTTTTGCATAGCTTGACCCATAATAGCATCTAAAAATACCTTGCTGCTTACTTTATTGGAGTACATATTTAGTGATACAACACATGGAGTGGTTTGTCACACTCTTCTGATATGGTTTTAATAACATGACCATTGCTTCCTCACTGATACTTGCTTTTGACACTTACTATGAATTTGGCTTCAGAACTTAATACCCACTGCTCTGTTGTCAGTCTCAGCAACCCATCATTAAACTTAAGTATTACTTTTGGAGTATTTCTCATCATCCTACATAATGGATCTGTTTTAGGAGTTTGTGTGTGTCGTCTTCTGTAAAACAAGTCAAAAAAGGGCCCAGGTGGCTTGTACATAACCATAACCTGTGGGGAACTAGTGGAAGACGTGTTTTGAGTAGTTTCACGCTTTCTTTTACTGGCCTGTTCTTCTCTAAGGCTTCTAGAAAAGACAAGTATCTTTGACTGAGCCTTTTCAAATTATCCTTTGAGGGTTTGGCTATCTGCTAGCAATGTTTACTTTGTCTCACTACTTAAAAATACTTTCTCAGCAGATTCAGTGTTGAACAAAGGGTTTTATGACCGTCCAAAGGACGGATTTTATGACAGGCTGAATGGATTTGCCTTTATTCCCAGAGTAATAATTCCAGTCTGTGCTGCTCTGTGAAAATCCCTGCAGCCCTCCTATGCCAATGTCATATCGTCTCAGTCTGTTTTAAGTGGTCAGTTGTACAATTAGAGAAGTGAGATTCTTCATTACTTTTGTCTCTTTTGGAGGAGCAAAGGTTACATAAGTTACTGGTTTCTTTGATTTGGGCTCTTATTAGAAATACAGTGAAGACCTACAAACATAATTCGTGAGAGTGAGCAAGCATCTTTTGAATGACTTTTGGCAGTCTTACTGCCAAACAGGGCTAAATTCAGGCACGTGACCTAGAGGACAAAAAGTTCTGGAACACATTAATTCTTTGAGTTTCAGTTCTTCCTGGATTAGTTGTGCATTTTATTAGCAAATTCCACTGACATAGGTAAAATACCCCCAGAAATCAGAAGTATTCTGTCAGCTTCAGGTATTAGGATGTGCATATTCAAAAGATGACTTCCCAATAGATGTGATTTGTTCTTACCATCTGTATGGAGATGCAGAAGCCAACACAATTCACCAAATTAAAAAGTACTGAAAAGAATAGACTGAAGGCAACATGAGAAAGGAAAAACATGTTGACACAATTGCTTATTTATAATCACTTTTTAGTAAATTGATATGCCTTAATGTGAGATGAGCTCTTCAGGTTGGGTCTGTAACCTTCTGAAAATGTGAGGGCCAGTGAAAAGTTACTAACCCAGGCACTTTTTACTCAGCAGAAAATTCTGTCTCTCAGTGTGAGAATCTTGTCTCATGGAAGTTGTTCAAAAATCCTTGCCCTGCCCTTTTTCAGTAGAACCAAGATTTTTCTCTTTGTTTATAAATTGTAGACCAAGACAAAACTGAAGGACTATTCTAACTGTAATTCACAGAACCTACCCTGATTCTCTAGATAAGATAATAATGATCTTAAAAATAAATGAGATTTTACTTTGTTGTTTTTCTTCAGGTGCTCTGTCTCAGAACACTTGAAGATGACTTAGAATGTTTAAAATACATATTTACATGATTTTATGCTGTTCTAAGTGGTAATCTCACATGTTAAAGCTAAATAGTTCTAAGAAAAAAATGTGCTTGATTTCAGAGTCATGAAGAGAGACAAAAGTCACCACAAGATGACATTCATGGTCTAGGAGAAGAATTCTGTCAGTGGTTCTTTGAACTCCTGAATTCTCAACATCCCTTGGGAGTAAAATCTGAAGAAAAATGGGGACCACAGCATTTTTGGGAGAATGCCAAAATGAAGTTATGTTACAACACATTAGAAAAAAACACGGAAGAATATGTTGGTGCTGAAATGGTGAGCCTTCGTCTGCTCTCCCTGGTCAAAGAAGAATATCTTCTATTCAACCCTAATTTGCATGCCAGTGGACTGAAATGTGTCATGTCTCGACATGGGTTAGTACTGGTAGCAGTGGCTGGCACACTACATAGAGACAATACCTGTTTGGGCATCTTCGAACAAATTTTTGGACTCGTTAGCTGTCCCGTTAGGGCAAATACCTGGAAAATAAAAGTTGTGAATCTTAATATAGTTGGACAGAATGCTCTGGAGCCTGGGATGCAGATTGAAAAACCCTCCATAAAATACGAGACAAACCAGCTGCAAGAGTTGTATGATGGCAAAGAACTGGGTGTTTGAACCTCTGAAATTCTGAGCAATTTTTTCACAACTGAGTTGACTGGGTGAGGGGGGAGAACACCACGCCCCTTGTGCATTGTTGAGTACTCAAATTGTTGTAGCCATGGGATGTCTCTTTTTTGAGTCAGACTTGCTGGATGACAAACTGGGATACAGAGTCTAAAGTATTAATACAGATGATGCTTTTGGGCATCTTTCCAGGAGCTAACAATATTTCACACTATTACTTTAGATTTTGTAGTGTAGTTAGTAATGGAGTTAGTTTAGTTATTCTTGGTTACAAAACATGGTTACATTCAGACATGGGTTGGCAGCAGTATGTAATGAACTAGATGACTTGGGGTTCACAAGCTGCAGGTTGCTTCTCTTCAGGTCTCCAGTTTAAACTCTTAACTGAGTTGTAACAGAAAGTCATTGCATCTGGCTTTTAGAAATTAGGATTGGTGAGTGTCTGAATGGACACAAGTCCTGAGAAAACCATCTGCCACTACAGGAGTTTTTGGAGAGAACAGACAAAATACTGCTGCCATTTATGTTCTAAATGTGGTTCCCTCACTGAAGAATAGAAGTAGATAATGGGACAATACAGGGAATTTAGCATTGTTGAGCTCTTTTGGGGTTAATAGCTTCCTTTCCTTTTACCTTATGGTTCCAACTGAATAATGAATATAGACAAACTCTCTGTTGTTCTATCTGTGTCCCCCAAACAGACAAATTTGAGATGGTTGCTCAAGCATCCATTTCTAGCACTGACTCTCTTGGATCAAGTAGTTGATTTTATGACTTACAGCAGCACTATATGAACCAAATGCTTTGATAATTATTTTGTATATACTGACAAGAGAGTTTTTAATATAATAGTTGTGATTTTTGTATGTTTTCTCAAAATAAGAATTTTATATAGGCTGTGCTGCTTTACTACATTGACTAGAAGTCAATTTGTTAACACTGGGCACTTACAATGACAGGTGATATTAAATAAATAATCCAGTTACTACTTCATAACAAATTCTTGCCATTGTAGAATTTGAGTTTTTCTAATTTTTTAATTTTTTTTCCTAATTTATAAGTGATTAGAGGTGAAACAAGATGAAAACTTATTTTTTCAGCAGCTTGCTTGGATTGTTTGGGAGTTTTGTTTTAATTTTATAGCTTCACCAATACAAGTTGTGAAAATGGAAACATTCCCCATAACATGGGAGAAGTTCTTTTGGGTTTGATACTTGTTAAAGATGACAAATGGTAAAATTATGGGTGGGTGAGGGGAAAGAAGAATATTCAGATATGCACAGAACTGTTTTTTGTGAACAGTCTGAATCTTAAGTGCTCTTTAAAAATTTATAAAATAATTTATTTTCTAAGCGAAAGTTCAAATACTGTGTTGGAATGTTCCTTCCCAATAAACAGTTGTGTCGTGGCTTCTACAGCTACTGATGTATAATTAATAAAAATCAATCTGAATTTAAAATTTGGAAGAAGCCATTTCATTGTATGTGTTGAGAGTTGCATTCCTCTTTAGGTGAGGACAAAAGCCTCCCTAAGGCCTAGATGGGGGTACCCTTCCAACATCCAGTATGACAGTCCGTAATTCAACTAAATATTTTACTGTTTTCAGAACCATACATTGTAATTGGCAGCGTAGTTACTTAGTCAGCATGTTAAATACAAGCATGACTAAGGGTGTAATTTTCATCATTGCTTTAAACTGACGTGGTGCGGGTGGTCTCCTCCGTCCACTCAGGTCTGTGCCCTTGCTCCCTTCTTGTATCAGCAGTGATGCTTGTGCTAACCCTGAACCAGAGGGAGTGGGGACTGATCCCAGTGAAAAATAACGCACTGTCAGCAACCCTTCAGGCTGATCAGCTCTCTAAAAAGGCTGGCCACACAAGTGCCAGTGTCAGCTTGAGGAACAGAGATGACAGTTTGGTTCTTCTTGGTGACAACCTGAATTTCTGTGGGATTAAGGAAGTGATCAAATAGCAGTTTTGTAAATTCTTACATTCCAAATGTTTATGCCTGATAACTTCATAATACTGAATGCAAAGAACATTGTGTAAATCAGCTTTTTACTGAGGCTGGTACCTCATGAATTTGTCCTTACTCCTTCAGTTCCCCTACACAAAGTATGCAAGCAAACGTTAAATTGTTACAGCCTTGTGACCTCTGTGTAAATCCCTGTTGTGTTGCAGAGTGGAGTAGGTGCTGTATGATTTACTGAAGACCTGTTGGTGCAGTTGCTGCTCTCGCACTGTTGATCATGCTGTTAAGAATCTGCATACATTAGTCTGTGCTCATTAGCTGCTGAATGATAACTGATTTTTGCAGCAGCTGATTTTGATGTGTGCTTATGGGTTACTTCAATCTGTAGTTACCAAGGAGCAGCTGGTATCGGCAGTTGATGAGCAGTCTATAGCTGCTGCTGAGCTGCAGTTATCCCAGGCTGATGCTGCAAAATGCAGAAAATGGTACAGGATCTGCTCTGTACAGTCTCACCACCTGAATGTTTGGCAGGCACTGACGGTCAGATGATGCTGAGTAACTGTGGTTTTGCAGTTATTAACTGGCATGACTTTTCATCCTATGATACACTTTCCTCTTTTCCTCCCAGGCCTGCATTCCCTCTTTCAAAAATGTACACATCACTTCTAAATGCATTTTATTTCCACTTGGAAAAAAAGGATTCCAGTTTTGTAATGGTTCTCCGGGCTCTCCATCTTGTGAGGAGGCAGAACTGGGCTTTGAAAGCTGCTGCCTCTTTGCAGTCAGTTTTAGGGGAGGCAGAGAGGCAATGGTGCCTCTGCTTGACATTTCATGTCTGTAGAGGCATGTTCCTTTTGGGACATAGGAGAGTTGCGAGGTCATAGCTGCAGTACTGCACCACAGGATATCACAGGTATTTTTCCGGTGTTGTGATTACTGTTTATATTAAGTATCCTGGCTAGGAGTTCAGAATTCAATTTCCAAGTAATTGTCACATTCAGAATTTTTTTTAAGAGTATAAAAACACTAACTGCAGGGTAAATTTAAAAAGGTACTTTCAGCTTAAGCTTGACTTGAAGGAAAAAAATTAGGACCTGTTTAAATGGAATACAGTCAAAAAAACTTGAAATATTTATGGAAGTGCTTTCATCACTCCCTCCAGATGTTGCTGTTCAGAGCTGAGGTAACTTCTAGTTGGTTTACCTTTGGAAACAATGGCCATTTTAGTTGCATTTAGGAGATTCTTTTAAAACTGTTTTCACCAGTTCTCCTCTGTCCATTTTCTTTGTCAAGGCTCAGGACAAATATTTTCCATAACAATTTATTCTGTCTATTGCTACTACTTAAGCTGAAATGATAAATTTATATTTTCTAGATCTATCTCTGGTAAGTAAATTGGTAGTAAGCAAAATACTGACTTGCAACAAAACAGGCAGAACTTTCTGAATTGTATGAATGTTAAACAGTGGAAATAGTGACCCTCTGTTCTAATCACCCACACCAGGTGTTTTGGTTTTTTTTTTTTTTTTTTTTTTTTTTTTTTTTTTTTTTTTTTTGTTGTTGTTGTTGTTGTTGTTGGGTTTTTTTTGTTGGGTTTTTTTTTTGTCTCTGAAGTAGGAAGCTTGCATGTCTTAAAGCAATATATGAGGAGAACCTCTGTGATCATGTGGGCCAGCTGCCTCACTGCAGGTTATGCTGTACTGCGTTGGCTGTGCTTACTCTCCTTATGCAGAAGAAGAGAAGTCATCACAAGGAAACCCTACACAGAGCATTAAATGAGTTCTGACTCGTGTCTGTGGTCTAAACAGCCAGCAGTGCTCCACTGCTGTTATTTTATCGAGCTTTTAGTAGTATTGAAATAAATGTGTTTTCTTTGGATGCTTATTTCTTCCATGAAATGTAGCGTATTTAGGAATTCGTAAGAGGTACCTAATATTCTTCATCTATGTCCTGCTTGCTTAGTAATCTGAGGAGGAAATCTTAAAGTTGATGACTAGTCTTCATCAAAATACTTGCTATGTTGTGTTTTTTCCCCTCATAAATTGCAAAATTAGATGACCATTTCCTTTTGCAGACTTCCCTGTCTGTTTTTCTTAATGTTTAATAATGTACCATTAAGGGAGCTGTCAGTTCAACTCTTGTTTCCTACATCCAGTTCCCCAAATTTAAAATCCCCAGTGCTTATTTCAGGAAAGGTGTGGATTATTTGTTGCTGCTGGAAAGACTGTTTTCACATCTTGGATTAGCTTTAGTTTATTAGTTCAAAAATTTATTGTAATATAGTCTCGTGGTGGCTGCAGAAGTAACTCAGTTGTTAAACCACTGGATTGAGGAGAACAATTTGCTTGGAATTGTGATAGTTTTCTTGCCTGAAATGTTTGCAAGCAACAGCATTTCTGACAGTGACTGCAGAGTACCTACAGTCCTCTTCCTGTATCTTAATTGAAATTAGGCAGAATAGAAATGACAAAGTTTCCCTGCTAAGCATTATATGAAAGTACAGGCTCTTAGTTCTGTAAGGAGTCTGGACACCTCCAGAAGCATTTCCTAGTTAGTAGTTGTTATTTTGAAATGGGAAGCTAACAGTACGTCAGACACTGAATGCCACTCAGGACATTTCTTCCAGCAAAGGCTCGTGCTGGCTTTGGGCGGCAGAAGTAAAGCCTGCCGTAGGAGGTGGGGGCAGGCAGATGTCTGCAGGAGAATCAGCTGTGCTTAACCCATCTTCTGCTCTGTTGTTTGAACAGATGCCCGTGCTGTGTTTTTTCAGAAGCTGTAGGAACTCTCTTAATGCAGTACACCTTGCGGGCATGGATTTTATGCTTTTCAAATAGTATGAATTTGACTCGGTTTATAAAATCTTCACTAACTTTTTTGGCAGTTGAAATAATTTGTGTAAGTCAAATGCTTTTTGTGGCCTGCAGCTGAAAACTGATTTAGTATGAATTACACAATTGCTTAAAGAGAGCAACAGATCTAAAGATGGTGATGGAATGTGTAGAGTAAGTTCATCCTGCACAGTGATGCCAGGCAGTAACTGATGGCAGAAGAAATTCTGGTCTTAGAAAATGTGAAAGGTGATTGCAGCAGCAAGGCTGTATTGTTGCAGAGTACTACATCTTTGCTCTCCCTTTATGTTTTACTATTACATATAATGTGCAAATACAGCTATTTTGCCAGCATGACATTACTAGAAACTGCAGTGTTTTCTTGTATCAGTCTTCAAGCACCACCTGCTGCAATATTTTTTTTAGCTTGTGACTGATTTCTTGATCTCTTCAAACTAAATCAAGAGAACTCAACGGGTTTAACTGTTATGTATGAAGAACTGGATGTGAAGAATATTTGCTTGAAATATTGATTTTTATCTAATTCCCAGTTATTTTTGACAAATGCCACACACTTTTGACAAATTGGTTTTGAAGAGTCACAGATACTTACTCGAGTGGAGTCTAAAGGTGCAACATTCTTGTTAGCTGTTTCTTCTAATGCATGCTCATATTTGAAATTAAGTGTTGAGGCACTTATAAGACCGTAAGTGACATAAGCAGCTAAATAAGGCATTCCAGGTAATGAACTTTAGCATTTCTTTATTAGTCTGCTTTTATTTTTTTCCTGTTCTAATCGTCTTCACTATGTCAGGAAACTTTCCATGTTCCCTTGTCACGAGACACTTCTGCTGCTTTTTGCATTGCTTGCTGTTTCTTGCAATCTGTTATCTATCTTGATAGCTTGTTCTTTTACCCTTAAGTGTTCAAGAAGGGTAAATTCTGCAAGGTGATGAGGTTCTGTAAAGAGAGAAATACTAGGCCTTCAGTAAAGAAAGGAAAAGTTATAGGATTTGGCCTTTAGCTCATGCAATGTCCTTCAGTGTTCAAAGGATTTTGTTTTTGAAGATTTAACACAGATTGAAAGTTTCTTCTTTCAAGAAACAAAGTAGAAATCCTAAGTTAAATGTAGTGTTTCTCCCCCATCTTGGAATTAACAGGAACTGCTGACAACAGCTTTTCCAGGTGTATTTCACTCTGAACTGTCAGGCTCCGGTTTCGAGTCTGATGTATTCACCCACGCAGAACATAGGGCTCTGCTGCCTTCTGCACAGTGATGACACAGTGCAGTTGGCAGTTGAAATACTACTCATAGCAGGGACCGTAGGAGCCAGAGACAGGGAAGAGCTAAACTCATTTAGTCCATCCATCAGTGAAGACTGATAAAAGATGGGTAAATAAGGCAAATTATGTGGGCCCACGTGCAGGAAAGTTGGAGGACAAGCAGCTGACAACTGATCGCTGTGACCACAGCAGGGCTTTCTGGAGCGCCTCATTAATTGAGGAGGGGAAGACATTAAAGAGCGGAATTTTATGGGTACTGACAACATTTCCACTGGTGTTAGAATCCTTAATCTGAGATTCTGAGTTTCAGTTTGTGACTGATGTGAAGTTAAGCTTCTCTCTGGAAAGGTTAATTAGCCTCTATGCCATGTAAGTA